AATGGTGAAGTGTACTGAATGCTGCTAACAGATTGAGTAGACTGGAGGAAGAGAGTATTGGTGAATTTAGCATGGGCAAAAACAGTCTAAAAGTTATCTCAAAATTGACTTTTGCAAAGCTGAACTTCTGATCTTCCTATGAAAACTTTCTCTTCTTGCAGAAAACTGCTCCTCTTGCAGTTCCTCAGGCCAAAAATCTTGGTGCCACCCTTGACTTTTCTCTGCCTTTCAGTTCCTACTTCCAACACACCAGCAAATCCTGTGGGCTCTGAGATATATCCACAATCTGCCCATGTCTCATCACTTCTGAAGCTACTATATGCTAGTACATTCACTTGGATTATTACAATAGTCTCCCAGCGAATCATTCTGACTCCATTCCTCGCTCTCTACAGGAGTATTTTGTTTTTTGCATCGGGGTCTTTCTGTCACTGAGGCTGGAGTACAGTGGCATGCTCATGTCTCACCATGGCTTTGACCTACTGGGCTCAAGCGATCCTTCTGCCTCAGCCTCCTGAGTAGCTGGGAATACAGGTGTGTGCCACCATGCCCAGCTTATTCCTACAGATAAATTTTCTTTTATTTTTTCTTTTTTTTTGAGTTGGAGTCTTACTCTGTCACCTAGGTTTGAGTGCAGTGGCACCCTCAAGGCCACCCCAGTGTCGACCAGCTGGGCTCTGGTGATCCTTCCACCTCAGCCTTCCAAGTACCCAGAACTACAGGTGTGTGCTGCCACGCCTGGCTATTTTTTTTATTTATTGTAGAGACGAAGTCTCACCAAGTTGCCCGGGTGGTCTCGAACCTGCTGACTCAGGCAATCTACTTGAGTGCCTTGGCTTCCCAAAGTGCTGGGATTACAGGTAGAGCCATCGAGCCCGGCCAGGTATATTTTCAACACAGCAGGCAGAGTGACCTTTTTCAAAAGTAGGCTGGCCACAGAACTTTATCCAAAGCCTCCAATGACTTCAGATACATATTCAGAGGAAAAGGACTATCAGACCCATGTGATCTGTCCACACACACCCAACCTTTCACCTCCCTTTCCTACCATTACCCCAATATCATCTCCTCCTCCATTCCTCGGGTCTTTGGGTTTCAGATACGCTAACTTTCATGTTTATTTCCTCAGTGCCTAAAGTAATGCCTGGCATGCAATATATACTAGTTGATTTGATGACTAAGTGGTGGATCAGTGAACTACAGTGGACCTGGAGAGAACAAGAGGCGAAGAAGCACAGTCAGCACGTGAGAAAAAGTTGCTATGAGAGGGAACAGAAAAATGGCACAGTAACTAGAAAGCCTATGGCATTGAAGAAGTGAATCTCTTAAAAAACTGATATAAGCCGGGCTTGGTGGCTCAGCCTGTAATCTCACGCCTTTGAGAGGCTGAGTGAGTGGACTGCCTGAGCCCGTGGGTTCGAGACCCGCCTGGGCAGCGAGCCCTCATCTCTACAATAAATCAGAAATCAGCCGGGCGTGGTAGTGCATGCTTGTAGTTCCGGCTACTTGGAAGGCTGGGGCGGAAGGATCACCGGAGCCCAGCAGGTCGAGGCTGCGGTGGCCGGGAGCGGCCACTGCACTCCAGTCTGGGTGACAGAGTGAGACTCCAACTCAAAAAAAACAAAAAACCAAAAAGAAAACCTGATATATATGACTTTACTGACCTAACAGTAATTTATATTGGCATTATATCCCATACTAAAATGCACACTTATAATCCTATATTTGAGAGCTAATATACAGCTTTGATAAAATCCAAGGGTCACATAATTAATTAAAGTAGACAAAATAAGACAGAAAACTGTATTCTATGAGCTATGTGTTGGACAATGAACAGCTCTGCCTGTAAGAAACTTAGCATACAGTAATTATTTAAAGTGATGATGGCGATGATTCATTTAGAAGTGACTTCAAGGTAGTGCAGTCATCTTAATTTATGCTTCTCTGAAGCATAGAGAAGGAGCTTAGAGAATTTACGTAATTGCTCAAGGACACACCACTAATAAATGATGAAGTTGGCATTTGAATTCAGGTATCTTTGGGAATAGTTTATGCTCATAACTACCATGCTAAATGTGTGTTGAAGTTCATACCAGAATATGGCATTATTATATAATACAGAATACTATATTATATATATTCTTTCTATAACAATTAAAAAAAAACTTTTCCAAATTGGTCTTTCATAATAAAACCCTAAAATAAACATTGGAAGGGCTGTGGAAGATATTCCATGTGTCTGTCAGGGGAATTAGCATGAGTGAGTGTCTGGGCAGAGACAGAGCAAATAAAGGGATGAGAAAAAATGGCATATTCTCTCACATGAATGAGTATCAGACCACCCAACAAATTAAATGCTAAGGTCCAGGACTGGGAAAAATCTAGGCTTCATATTTTGTTTGTTTTTCCCTGAACTTCTTTAGACGATTTTCTCTTTGGTAGTTTTTATCCAAGCTGTAATAGGCAGAATTTTGAGATGACTCCTAAGATTCTCACCTGAACATAATCCTCTGCCTTTCAGAATGGGAGAATGGTGGGGGGGGAGGTACCGAGAATATAAAGGGATATCACTTTCCTTGTTATATGACAAAGGTGATAAAATAGTCACTCTCATGTGACTATTTCATCTATTATTACATTATAATTTGCAGACCAAAGGGATATTTTTCCTCTGGCTTTGAGGAAGTAAGCTGCCATGCAGAGGACATGTGGCTTACAACCTGATGGTGGCCTCAAAGAGCTGAGAGGGGCCCCAGCCAACAAGAAAAGGCAGCCATTAAGAAAAAGGGAACTCAGTCCTACAACTGCAAGAAACTGAATTCTGCCAACAACCTTAATGAGCTTGGAAGAGGACCCCAAGTTGCAACTGGGATTGCATCTCTGGTCAATACCGACTTCAGCCTGGCCAACTGTGAATACAGGGTGTGGTTAACCCATAAAAACTCCTGACCAGTGGAAATTGAAATAATAAATGGGTGTGTGCTCAATTGCTAAATGTGGGCAACTTGCTACATAGTAATTGAAAACTAAAACAAGAAACAGAAAACAAGTCAGTATTCATCCCTTACACAGACACTGATGAGGAGAGGTAACATTGCTACAGTTAGCACATTACCCCAAGGGAAATAATGAAAACAGAGTTTTAAATTCTGAATTGTCCTGTTCCATACTCTTTCATGTCTACATGCCTTTTCACTTGCGGTTCCCTGATGAATTCCTATTCAACTTTCAAAACCTAAGTCAAATACTGCTAATTCAGAGAAGCATTTCCTTAGAGTCACCGTCATCCACTCCTGAACAGAAGAAATTACTCCTGCTCTTTGCTTCCATAGAGGCAGCTTGTTTGTGCATCTACCAAAACACTGGTCAAAATGCATTGTAATAAATTTATATATGTCTACTGCCCCCACCCCCCACCCCTGCCCCCAACCCCAGTCTAGAATCCTTCAGGGCAGAGCTGCCCTAGTCTCTTGCATAGTGCCTGGTATGTATAGTGGGTGATAAATAGTTGGATACTGAGTGCTCCAACTAAAACAAGGCTTTTGATGCCCACAGAGTGGTTGTTTCTTTTCCAGCACAGCTGATCAGTCAGCAGGTAGTAATGGAAACTTCCAGCACCTTCTCCATGACAACAGCTTCGGTGAATAAATAAGCACTTCCTGCCTGAAAAGGGCAGATATTCCCTATCTCAAAAGAGCTGATCGAAAATGGATAGGTGTGCTCAAAGCAAAAGGTAGCAAGTGCTAAGGAGGATTTAGATTCTCCCCAAAAGGGATGACTGGAAGCCCTGTCTGATTTGTTCTGATTCAAGCCTATGCTAGGTTTGTATGCTTGCTAATTCAAATCATTTGTGTCAATCCACTTTTGAAACCAAATGTCAACCCAAATAGGCAGCAATCTCACAAAGTTAGTTTTACTCAACTGCTTAAAACTGTGAGAAACAAGATAAATGAGAACCGTATCTTGACAATATTCATGGCATTCACAGAGCCTTGATAGCACTTTTGGGAAATCACAGACTCAGGCAAAATTATGCATCATCAATTTGTAGGGAATAAATAGCACTTGCTGGGTGTGTGGATTGAGAGAATTTACATTTTTTCTTAGAACACACTCTCATGGGTAAGGATATGCTCCCTTGTGTTTAACCTAAATTAACCATGCTACTTCTTTAGGACTCCACGTCAGTGGAGAAGGTGATCATTCAGAATTAGAGAGGATACAAAGCAAGACATGGAAATAAGGCACCTATCTAATGATGCATAACCAGCTCATGGGAGCTGGATTCTCATTACAAGTAAATTATTAAACAACAAAGTACTGCTTTCTAGTAAAAGGATTACAACCATGCTGCCAGAAACTTAGAAACTTGGAAAAATTCAGGTAGGAAATGGTTTTGTCACACTGAAATAATTTAATTATTCCTAATTTATTATTCAATACAATTGTTACATTTTTTAGTATTTTTAAAAGTTTTTAACATAAACTCTTAATGTCAATACCTCTTGTAGTCATTCCTAAAAATGAAGATTTTGAGAATCTTTTACAAGTACTGGCTGGCACTGACTCAAAGAGTTAGCTATCGGGGGACATAATTTCCGTAAGATCAGCAGTGGGGAAAAACGTTTGGTCTGGGTTCTTAATCTTTTAGGGGTAACACTAGATGCTCCTTCATTTATTCAACAAATATTAATTGAGTGCTTATTGTGTACAGATTTTGTGCTAGGTGCTAGGGTTAACAGCTGTGCATGAGATGGGTAAGGTTACTGCTGTCACAGGACATATTCTCATGTGGGTGTGTGTATGTAAGAATGTACCCACTGTGTAGAATAAGAATAAAGAGAAAACAAAGAGGGAGTAGAGTCTCTTAAAAATGTATGAATTATTGCCACTGCACTCCAGCGTGGGTGACAGAGTGAGACCCCAACTCAAAAAAAAAAAAAAAAAGAATTATTTTAAATGCTAATGAAAACTTCAGACTTTCAGAACACAATACATACCTTCGATGCTCTGTGGACCCACAAGATTCATGGCCTGGTGAGCTGGATACTCCACCCGTGGCCTGGCAATGCCCAACTGCTCCATGACACCATGGAGTAGCCTCTGGATATCTGTTTCTGAGAGCCGGTCAGGGGCCTGGCTGTTATAAGCAAATGCTGGAGTCCATCCAACTGCCAGCCAAAACAGTAGGCCAGAAAGCATGGTAAAGACCATCCTGGAAACCATTTTTAACCTGCAGAAAAAAAACCCAAAAACCTCAAAAAAAAAAAGCCAAAAAAACAAAACTTAAATCGATCAGTTGGCCACAATTGACTACTGTGATGACACAATCATGTAACCACTCCAGGCTGTGGTTCAAGTACCACCCGGAAAGGTACAGCAACGAAAAATCCTTAGGGGTCTGCTTTTGTCTTAAGTGTCCATGCTAGACAGGACACCATTGTGGGAAGGTATTAGAGACACAAAACAGCTGGAGGTGTCCAATTCCCTCTGTCTACACTCTTGGAAAAGCTAGGCTGGAAAGGCAGTTCTCACTTGTACTTTGTATCCTCCTTGCAGCTCCCCGAAAGTTCTGCACTACCATTCTCTTCACCTTCTCTTTTTCTCTTACTAAAACACACAAACCACAACTTGCTTCAATTTTGAGAAAGACAGGGATAGTGACATCTTGAATTTTCCCAGTCTCAGGGAAGGAAAGGCTAACAGGAGGGAGTTAGGAAGACACAAATGACAAAGAAGCACAGAAAGGTTAGGAGTGGCAGCAGAGAACATTTTTAGCTTAGCAAATATCTCATGCGTTTGAGACCCTGAGGAGAATGGAAACAGGTGCAGCTCAGGCCCTGGCCTGTAGTCTGGTAGGGTAGAGGGGGTGTGCTTGCTCAGCATGAGTGATCATGGGCAAGTACCTCAGCTGCTTCCTCTGTAAACTGGGGATAATAAAAGCATCTACCTTATAGGGTACCTGTGAGGGGAAGTGTGCAAATACACCTAAGAGGGTTTAGAATGGTGCCAGGCACAGAGTGTACCCCCATATTGCTGTCATCATGTTAGTAATATTGCTGTGCAGTTCCAGAGATTAGAATTCGAGGAGGCAGTACAGAGGAGAGGGAAGACAAAGCAGGTGAAGGAGTGGGAGAAAATTAGTCTGGGGAGTTAACCTTTCTACATGTTGCCTTCTATGGATATGCTTGCAGAACAAGGGAACTGTATCCATGTAGCTTCCCCTGCAGCTGCTTAACTCGTTTTGCACGGATGCTTCAGGCAGCAGCCATGCAAATCCTGCTTTTGATTATTCTTCTACCCGGGCGGGGGGATGAAGAAGAGGAAAGGAAGCAAACGGTGCATTTTCTTTAATGACTCTGAGACATTTATTTTCCTGCAAAGAAAAGGCTTTTGCTTCCCATCATTATTTGGGAAATAAATCCTTGTTTCCCAAAGAGCAATCAAGAGAACAGCTCTTTGTTGCAACAGCAAAGTCTGCAAATCTGTTGCAGAAAGCCAGAGGCAGACACCAACCAGCCTCTCCATCTTTCCCTTCCCTGTTCTGAATGCAGGATGTCTGTTTCATTTCCACCCCAGCCAACACCGTAATGATTTGATGAAGTATCTAATCTCCTCCCTCCATACTTCTTTCCCTTTATAGCCAAACCTCCTAACCTACTCATCCTTTGTCTGACCCCAGACCCCAGAGCTCAAGGATTTCAGCAGGGCGCCCTACCCCACTCCCGACCTCAGAGAAGGAGCAGCAGATCTCGGGTGGACGGCAGCAGGCCCAGCCTGCCAGTACTCACCGAGGGGCAGCCCGAGGAGCCTACTGCGATCTGGGCCTGGGTGGGGGTCGGGGCCGCGAGCCGGGCGAGCTGGGTAGCTTGTGCGTCACCTCCCTCCGCATCTTAGCTCCGCCCCGGCCCCTCCTCCAGCAGGTGGAAGGCGCCTCGCCAGGGCTTCCCAGGACGCATCCCGGATGACTGCGCCTCTCTCACCAAGAGCCGCCCAGCGCTTCAGCCACGCATTCTGCCCACAAACCTCTTGGATATGAAACCTACAGACCCTCTTCCTCCATCCGCCTCTGAAAGTCACTCACCTCCTCACTCAGTCTCCATGACAGTGTGCCCGGTCGCCACGTTAGCACACCTTTCTTTAATGTTGTCACCTTCTAGAACAGAACAGTTAAAAAAAAGTCTTTTAGCTTCAAGAGGGAAGATGCCACGAAGAGTGGAGTGACAAGAGAAGTCCTAAGAACTTTTATTCGTGGTTATGATAATGTAAATACTGCTTTCAGGGGCCTTTTTGCGCAGGAAAACTATAAGGGACTTAATACAAGAAGCTAAAAACATCTGCTAAAGTGATATCTTGATGTCCTGTAGAAATTTTAGCTCTGGGTGTTATTTCTAAACTTCCACACCAACTATCAAGTAAAATCCTACTTTGGCCTGAAGAGGAACCATACACCCAGCATATTGTAGAAATGTGTCCCAGTAGACCCAGAATTTTTGTTAAGTGTTTATGAAGCATCGACTGTGTGCAATGTTAGACAGCCGAAATTTGTTCAAATACAAAAATTGAAACGTAAAGTCATACGATATAGTTTTGCAAATTTCTTTAATCAAGTACCTGCGGCTCTGAGAATAACTAACTTGATGAAGTCAGAATCCAGATCTCTTTATCTTAGCTCTACACAGCATATCTGTTACCATCTGCAGCAATTCACTCACAAGATACACGGCCTTTTGTGTTAAAGTCAAACCTCCTTCCCAGTGCTTTTGCTTCCATGGATTCTCCTCTGCTCCCTGTTTTGCATGCTAAATCAACAGGACAGATACCATCTATTGGCTCTAGGCTCACAGATGATGCCGTAACTTAGTATTTATTGATGCATTGAAACTTTTTAAGATTCTGAATTTTACTTTAGCATTGTTCACTGTTATCTTCATTTTGTGCTTGGAAAAAATGAAGTCTCTTTAACGTATTGCTTTTGTGTGAAATAGAAATTTGACTGAAATACACCAAAATGCCATGCTTCCTATGAAATTTGACATTTTATACCTATTGGGTACAGTGTTCACAGGTGGGGGTGGTGGGTACTCCTAACGCCCAGACCAAAAATCATCTATATCTCCAAAGTTATGGAAATTAATAAAAACAAAACAAAAAACAAACTTCCTTAGGGGGAAAAATTTATTTTAAAAATAAAACATCTACCATATACTTGTGATCCCAATAAATGTTTAAATATTGCCGTAATTAAGAAAAACACAACTCTTACTGATTATAGTAAGGACTATGGCCAAGCAGTCTAAGTTCTATGTATTAAGTTATGTTGTTTGTTGCTTGTAATAACCAAATAATAATAGATCTTTATTTATACTTATAAGATAAAGTAAAAAAACCTCTGGTTACTGACTGCACATATCCAGACACGTTTAACTTTGTAAAGTATATCTGTATATCATTTGATCAAATGTCCTATGAAGTTAGTAACATCATCTGCATTATGCATAAGAAAAATTGAAAACAGATTAAGTCAAGTCTAAATCTCAACTTTCCTGATGCTTGCTCCAATTACAAATACCATGCCTTCCAGTTATTTACTTTAATATTCCTATACTTTGTATTGCAGTTTCCACCTATTACAAATGGGAGTGACATGTGGGTTTGTTTTTTTTTGAAATTAACATTTTTCATTATTGATTCAACTCTCAGAAAAGCCACCAATTCAGGTGATTTGTACAGTTAACCTCCTATGCCTTCTTACTAAATTAGTCTTTCAACTCAACATTTCATCCTTCGCTCGGATAAAATTCAAAAACAAAAGTTAAAAAATTATTTGACTGTGGCTAAGCTTGGAATCCCAGCACTTTGGGAAGCCAAGGCGAGTATATTGCCTGAGCCTGTGGGTTCGAGACCAGCTCGGGCAACTTGGCGAGACCTCATCTCTACAATAAATGAAAAATTAGCCGGGAGTAGTAGTGTGTGCCTGTAGTTCCGATTACCTGGAAGGCTGAGGCGGAAGGACTATCAACGCTGGGGTGGCCATGAATGTGCCACTGCACTCCAGCCTAGGCGACAGAGTTGAGACTCCAATTCAAAAAAATTATTTGAATCAGACAGTGTACAGGGGTGCCAAAAAAAAGTATGTACATCTTAAGAGATGTTATCTATGTATTACTTTTTGAAGTTGAATTGAATTATGGTAGCAATGCGTAGTATGACATTCACTCAACTATGCTTCTGCCATTTTCTTTGACTGTCCAGCCTGTCACATAGTGACACTAGCATTCATTTGGTTAATCCCGTCTTTTGAGTGAACAGCATACTTAAAATGTATATAAATTTTTTGGCAGCCCCTGTATATCTCAGAGTATATGAATATTTTGTCTCTACTTACAGTTAGAAATACCATCAATACCTGAAATGCATATCTAATTTATATCACAAACCTATGATATCAGATAAACATATTTATATCTACAGATATTTACAGTCTTTATGTAATTCAGATACTAGTTTTGAAAAGGGATTGATTCTTGGGTAATAGATACAGAAACAGAAAATCACTTTGAAAGAAGACAGATATACTGTATATATACTGATATATACTGTATCAAGTAGAACTTGGAGAAGCAAACATTTGATTACTTGAAATTCCTCACACATACATATACTGAAAGTGTGGTTGCTCCCAGTGTGTGCAATACTGCTCTAATCTATTCTAATATCGAAACGTGGCATTCTAACAACTGACCTGAAAAACTATCTTCAGTGGTTGACTCTTTCTGCTTAGTCCTTTCTCTAAAACTTAGAGAATATATTTTATTGTTCATAATACTCTTTCCTTAAAGATCTGCAATTTGTAATAAACACTTTAAAATATAAATTTAGACAGAATTGTTTGACAATTTGGTGAAAGTTCTAAATGGTACTTTGAATTTCATCAGAGCCTCAGACAAGTCATTTTCCAAAATGTTATCTTTAATGTCTATGCTAAATAAATAACATTTATACACAAGACAAAGTCATGGTTTTTATCTAAGTAAAATGTACAGAAGTGCATCGACTATTATAAATTCTACAGGTAAGAAATCACCTTGATTAAATTGTTTCAATTCAATTATTCCTCTTTAAATAATTGCCATTTCCATATTGGATAAAACAGTTACAAATGTATTTGTGCAAATTATCTTTAAAAACACAGTATGGCTTAAAAGTTATCAATTTCTTCTAGATCAGAATACATGAACACACTTTTGTCATTACTCCGTTTTATCCACTGTTTAGTGAATGAACACCTGGTATATCTTCAGGTAATATAAACCAAATTACTCTGTTCCAAGTAAGAAAAAAGGATTAGGATGCTATTAAAGCAAATTAATTTTGGGGAATTTTTGGCAAAGACAATAACCATTAATATAATTCAAAACACAAAATCTGCAGAGATGATCTCTTCCCTTTACATGCTAGAAATTTACAGCAGACACCTTTTCTGACTTGGGGAAATAACAGAAAATAGGCACAACTTGATCCATTCTATCATACATGAAAGTAATGAATCTTCAAAACTTAATTTCTTACAAATCCAATCAACAATTTCATTAAAAAGGTAAACTATAACCTCTGCTTTAAGAAATCACAATAAAATTAAAGATTAAATATGACCATAATTACAAAAAACAAAGTAGTTATTTGTACAAGTATAAAAACTAAAGTTGCTTGTACAATGAAATTGAAATGTTTCAGCAAAAATCTGTTTAACGATCACCCTGAGCTACAAACTAACATGTAGATTATCCTGCAAGTTATGTCACCAATTGCTCATTTTATTTACACTAATGACAAGTATAACATTTACCAATTACAGGTCTACAGGTTTACTTGTTGGTAGTAGTTGAGCTTTTCCAATAGGATTTTTTGGAGAACCTTTGTACCAGACCCTTTCTCTTTCTGGTGGTCTCCTAAGGACCCTGTTATTTATCCCAGGAGAAAAGCCCCGACTGTTATTTACAATAGGTTTTACTATATCATGATTAGTCAGGTCATCCAAGGGAACCTTAATTTGGCCATCAGATATCACATCCTGTTCACGAACTCTAGTAGGCCCCAAAAAAGGATTCACTGAATCTGGGCATCTCTTCATTTTTAATAAAGATTTAGAAGTTAACTCCATGCTTGATTTTGGAACTGCATCAATGTTTGACTGTTCACGTGATGTAAACTTCTGTTCTTTAGGATCTGATTTCATATGTGAAATAGAGGAATGTTTTGACTTACTTTCTGTATAAGAGGAGAGAGCACTGTCACAGCTCACTGATTTAACCAAAGGGGAAGGAGCATTACTACCACTTGCCAATGTATGCCTTACAGGTTGTCTGTTATACTCCAACAAAGAATTAATTCTTCTGACAGACTGACGGACAGGAGTACGCTGAAACTTAAGAGGTGACTTAACCTTTGTTCTACTTGGTTCATTTAAAGAAAGCTTATTAAACCACTGTATATGATCTGAAACTTTTCCATGTTCTGTCATTCGCAAACTTTCAGAAACTGTTTTATCACACGCTTCCACCAGTGACGGCTGTTTAACAATTCTCGTAGGCCTCGGCTTTGACAAGTTTGTTACAATACACGTACTCTGTTGTGAAGAGGATCTAGCCTCTTCCTCTCTAGAAGCTGCGCATTTCAGTAAGTTCTCTTCAATCATATCTTCATTCTCCTTTAATTTAGTACTTAGTTTATGCCTCGGGGACTGCTGTCTCTTTATTTGTTCATCACTGGGGAATTCTTGCTTGCTTAAATAATCTTTTGGTATACTTGAATGAATGCTTTTTTCATGTTCCACCTTAATCTGAGTTGAATACCATTTTATAGTTGATTCTCTATCACATTTTTGAGTTTGATGTGGTGAAAAGTCTCTTCCTGAAAAGTGATTTTCATCATTACCACTGTGGTGCTCAGATACTTCCTTTGATTCTATTACAGTCAAATCATTAGTTTCAAATAGTTTTCTCTCTGGGCTATATTCTACATAAGATGTTTCAGTTAATTTGGCTTTCCCCACATTAGTTATTGATGACTGCCTGGGATTTATCAATGTATGAAGATTACTTCCAGATTCAGAAAATGCTTTCTGAATTTTCACCAAAGTCTCTTTGGTCAAATTATTTTCATCCCCACTAAGGGAGCTTCCCGTTAAGTTGCTGTTATCTTTATTGTGTAAATTGGAAGGGGAGAGTTCACATGAAGCAGCAGGTGAATTTTCAACTGTAACATCAGGCTCTGAAGAACAGTTTTCTGCCTCAAGATTTTCGACTATTGAAGAGGTTTCATTTGCATGTATTTCTTGAAAACTTGAATTACTAGGTCCTGTCCATGACATCCGGTAATTTGTTCCATCTAGTCGCTCTGGAGTTAATAAGTTTTCCTCAGACTTACTGACCTTTTTTGAACCTAAAACAAAGCAGTTCAGTGCTTTTAAACCTTTGTATTTGACGTTGTTTTGAAATATTATCCAAACACATGGCAAATAATGGCATTAAGTACTTAATTCCAATAAGTTAAAGATTTGTGTTAAAAGGAATAATTTTTAACATATGAATGTCAAACATTTTCATATTTACATGTATAAACTCTCTCTAATTGCTGACAGGAAAATACACTGCCAATTCAAATATTTTCACTATTCAAACATGAAGTTTTAATTTCTAGAACATTAAGTTATTATATTTTACCATTAAAAAGGCAACTAAAGAAAGATTTTTGTGAAAACTTTTAGCAATAGCATGTAAATGTACCTTTCTTTGATAACCTTTCATCAATATCTGGGCTAAAAAGCAGACCTGTTTTTACAGATTCAATCCTATTTATTAATCTTTGTTGATTTGCAAGTCGCCGACCAACATTTTCACATCTATTGACACCAGAACTTCCATTCTATACAGAAAAAGAAATTGAAAAAGTGTGGTTAAGAAATAAATTCAGTTAACTCAAAATATTAGGACAAAGTAAATTTTTTAAGTTATCAAAATCTTCAGTTGATTAAAAAAGGCATATATAATCAGGAAAAAATTTTTATAACAAATATTTTTGCCTGCTAATGAAAACTATAATCACTTGACATGATTACTAGTTGATATTTTATGACATAAAATTAAGACAGCCTTGCATGTTCATTCATTGAAAAAATTATTGTTGGGTGTGGTGGCTGATGCTTGTAATCCCAGTACTATGGGAAGTAGAACTGAGAGGATCGCCTGAGCCCACGGGTTTGAGACCAGCCTGGGCAACTTGGTGAGACCTCGTCTCTACAATAAATCAAAAAAACTAGCTGATGTGGTGGTGCATGCTTATAGTTCCAGCTACTTGGAAGGCTGAGGCAGAAGGATCGCCTGAGCCCAGCAGGTTGAGGCAGCGGTGGCCGTGAGCATACCACTGCACTCCAGCCGGGCAGGCTGAGTGACAGAGTGAGACTCCGACTCAAAAAAAAGAAAAAGAAAAAATTATTCTTGTGTGCTGACCCTGTGCCACGGCCTGTTCACAAACAGTGGAATAAACAAAAAACGCAGACCAAAATCTTAACCCTCATGGACTTTACATACTATGTAGATAGGAAGTTTTAGACCAAAACAAGATAAACAATAAATTATATTGTATACATACAATGAAAAGTGCTATAGAAAAAAGTAAAATGTAAGGATACAGGGTGCTGAAAGGTGTAAGTGTAATTTAAATAGGGTAATCAGAAAATGATTTGTGAGTAAACAAAAATAAGAGAGAAAGCCATGAAGATTTAAGGGGGAAGAACATTATAGGGAGAGTAAAACACTGGTGCAATCTGGAGCACAGTCTGGCTTGATCAGCAACCAGCGAGGCCAGAGAATGAAGCAGAGTAAGCAAGTGGGACAGAAGCAGAAATCAGCATTGCCACCTGAGAACATAGCACGGAGTGTGTGGCATATCAGTGAGAGAACTCTGGCTTTTATTCAGAGTGAAATGAGGAGTCATTGGAGGATTCTGAGCTGAGGAATGATATAACCTAGCTTGGGTTTTTTTTTTTTTTAAGTTGGAGTCTCACTCTGTCACCCAGACTGGAGTGCAGTGGCTGCTCCTGGCCACTGCAGCCTCGACCTGCTGGGCTCCGGCAATCCTTCCGCTTCAGCCTTCCAAGTAGCTGAAACTACAGGTGCGCACTACCACGCCCGGCTGATTTTTTAAAAAAATTTATTGTAGAGATGAGGTCTCGCCAAGTTGCCCAGGCGGGTCTCGAACCCGCAGGCTTAGGCAATCCACTCATCTCAGCCTCCCAAAGTGCTGGGATTACAGGCTGAGCCACCGAGCCTGGCTAGCTTGGGTTTTAAAGTCTAATTCTGGCTACCGTTCTGCAAGGATAGAAGAAGGTAGACCTGAGAGATGACAGAATTTAGAGAAAGTGGGAAAAGTAGTACTGGTGAGAACCGGTCAGTTTGGAGACACACTGGAAGCAGAAGTTAGATGGGATTCCTTAATGGATCAAACATGGTGGGGAGAGAAGGTGAGGAATGAAGAGTGTTGCTATGGTTTTTGGCCTAAGTGATGGGATGAATGAACTGTTGAAACTGAGATGGAGATGACAGCAAAGTAAGTGTTGTTTTGTTGGCGGGGAGAGGGATAGTGACAGCAAAGAAATGCATCTCAGGCATTCTATTTGGAGCAGGTTATACCTGAAATGCCTACCAAAGTAGATACCCAAGTAGAGAAGTCAAAAGACAGATATTGAGAAACAGTCAAGTTGTTCAGGAGAATATTTTGGGCTGCAGAACTTATACTTGGAAGTTTTAAGTAAAAAAAGTTAAGCATTCCAAATCTGAAAAGCCAAAATCAGAAACATTCTGAGTGTTATCAGATTTTCAGATTAGGGATGCTGAACTGGTAAGCATAATGCAAATATTTCCAAATTAAAAAAAACAAGCAAACAAAATTTACAACACTTCTGGTCTTAAGCATTTTGGGTAAGGGACACTCAACCTGTATACAATGTTTAAGGCTGATGATCACCTTGAGTGAGTGGACAGAGAAAAGAGAAGTACAACTAAGCTTTGAGCTTTGGGCACCCCAATGCAAGGGAATTTGAAGACACAAGGCAAAAGTATACCAAAGGGAAGCAAGTGATCAGTTGATATTTGACCACTGGTTTGAACAATGTTGAATTCATGCGTGACCTGGATGAGAACAGTTTCAGTGGCTTGTTGAGAGGAAAGCCTGATTGGAATAGATTTAAGTAGAGCAGAAAAAGAGGAAGTAGAGATATCAACTCACGTTTAGTATAATGAGGAGACAGCAGCTGGAAGAAAGACAGAGTCAGAAAGGTCTTTTAGTATCAAGTTTGCAGCTTTATGCTAATATAAACAGATCAATGAAATAGTAAGACACTTACATCTCTACCATTTTTTCCCAGACTAAATTTCAAACGAAGAGATCTTCGAACCTTTTCTTTACGACTGATTTTAGGAGAGAAGCAGCCTGCTTTTCCTGATTCCACCCTAAAGAGTACAACCAAAAATGTCAGTATATAGCATACCAGAAAATTCTTACAAAATATAACTTGAGAGAAAGTCCACAGCAAATCATACTGCTAATAATTGAGCAGAGTAATAATTTTTAAAAGCCAGTTATGTTTTAAGATACCATATAGGAACACACTGAGTTTGAATATAAGAATAACGTTATAAAAGTTAGTCACTTATAAATCAGGATTATTAGAATAAACTAAATAGAAAAATTTGAAATTATACCATCAACATAAAATAGAATTTTAAGCAAGCAAAGTGGACTCAAATTAGGAATCTTTCTCTGGTGGGTTTTTGTTTTTTTTTTTTTGAGTTGGAGTCTCTCACTCTGTCACCCAAGCAGGAGTGCAGTGGCATGCTCACAGCCACCGTAGCTCGACCTGCTGGGCTCAGATGATGCTTCTGCCTCAGCCTTCCAAGTAGCTGGAACTATAGGCATGCACCACCATGCCCAGCTAATTTTTTGATTTATTGTAGAGGTGAAATCTCGCCAAGTTGTCCAGGCTGGTCTCGAACCTGTGAGCTCAGGCAATCCTCTTACCTCAGCCTCCCAAAGTGCTGGGATTATTGGTGTGAACCACTGCACCCAGTCTCTGGTGGGTATTTAAAGGGTGACTGATTAATAAGACTACAAATACAAAAGGGATTTTTAAAAGTTATAATTCAAATGTGGTTCACATTTTTGCTAAGAATGTAGACACCAAATATTGATTCAATGAAGATAAAATGTCCTGGATAAATTACCTGCCAATTTTTTTGCCTGCAATCCTTTTACTTCGCCTTAGCACACCTGTGCTGATCAAATGGTTTCCACTGATGGCTACAGGAGAGAGTGAACTCTGAGATGACCCTTCTGAGCTTGTATCAATGTGAACTATAAAAATAACCACATGTAATATGCCATATACACTTATTTTCTTTTTAAAGTGTAAATTAACAGTAGCAATTAAACCAAACCCATACTTTCTATTCCCAAGCAACAACAGAATTCAGTTAATTTCTGATTAAAAACTTCAGATGTCAAGTAACCCAACTAAAAAAGTATCTATTTCTTACTTTTGAGTTGCCAATTCTTTAATTCAGATCAAGCATGACTTTCATATGAGAGTTTTGCTTTAAACTATTTTAATAATACAAGAGAGGGGTAGGCACTGTTGCAGATTGGAGAAAGAGGAAGATTTGAAGAAAGACTTGAGTTTGTCTAACCATTTGCTAAATGGCTTTAGGCTCTAAAAATAGACTTCTATGATAAACGTAAATATTACTGTCATCTATATAAAATGTCTAGTACAGTATCTAATACATAATATTAATGTTATAATAAAAAAATAAATGATTGGAAAACAATTTGGAATCCGAGTACCCAGGATGTACCTGTTATCTACCCGAGTCTGGAATGTTATTTGTCCAGTATTTTTAGTAAAAAAACAAAAAATAATATCTATAACACATGTCTAATCACTTGGCTGCTGCTGTGTTTCATGAGGATAACTGTTGGTTACAACAGAAGCTCAATTTAATTATTTAACACCATTTATATCATAAAATCAACTAAAGTAAAAAAGTAAGAAAAAAGTAAAATAGTTACAAACAAATGTTCTATATATACTTGACTTATGCTTGAATCATATCCAGTATACACTCAACAAACATGAATCCTCTCAACTCATTATAGTTATTAATAAATAATTCACAAAGTTTCCCAAACAGAGACACTCATGTTTTTTCACTTATGAAAACAAAAAATATAATTATTATAATGACTTTGGGTACATCTGATTAAAGAAAATTTTGGAGGCCAATATAATACATATAATGTGAACATAGGTAGTTTTATTCCAGGACTGTAGTCTAATCATTTAAAAAGTCTGTCAATGGTTAAAGGGGCACAATTAAAATATATAAACAATGCAAATTTATCACACATATTAAAAAAAACTGAATATGGACTATAGACTAATATTGTTGCTTTTATATATTTTAAAAAATCATACCTGTTATCATCTAAACTTAGAAATCAACCCACGTATCTTTAATTTTGCAAGTGGAATTTACTAAGTTGTGTCTGAGAAAGTAGGGTTAAAGAAAAATGATGGGTTAAAAATGATGGATTACTGTCTTTAACTTTTTAAGATTTTTAGAAAGAAAATTTACCAACTAAGCAGGCTCAAACTAAAGTTAAAATAACACAAGAATGTTCAATCTCTTTCTTTGGGAGCTTGGAGAAGGAATCAATAGGTTAATTCCCTAGGGAAGATGCTGTAATGCTAATAAGCAAAGACAGGTAGAACTACAATTCCCAATTGCCATTTGGGAAAAGTCCTCAAAATTAGAAAGCATTTTACATATTAAAAACAAAAACACTATGTTACTTTAAAGGAGTTTAAGTCTCCAACCTCTATGCACTAAAAAAGCTACAGAAATAAGTTTCAGAGTTATGATCACTACACTTTAATGAACCATAGAGAACCTGTTTTCTTCTGGAAAAAGGTTGCCAATCTAGTCAGCTTTTTGATAAAACAAGGAAAGTTAAAATCTTTTGGATAACAGAAACAAAAGAGAGCTTTTGGGAAGAAGAGCTTATAACTCAGCTCATTAATTCAAAAGGAAACCTTTCACATTGTCTGAAACCAACAAAATGAAAATCTAAAAAAATCAGAGGTCACTCAAATTTTAACTAAATGTAAGACAAATATGAGATGGAGGACACTGGGTTTAGTTAAGATTTTATTTCATTTTTAATTGATCATAAAGTTAATATGAGCCAACGTGTATTCTGCTAAAAGAGCCAACTCAGTGAAATGCTACAGTAACAAAACTCTAGTCTTCAAATTAGCATCATCATACTCTATTATCCTTTGAAGGCTGTGGTTAGCCACATTAGGAACTTGCAGTTAATTTGGAAGAAAATGGCTGGGCTGATAAGGGATCAGGAAACCATACCACAAGGAACAGTATAAACAAAATTTTAAAGCTTCTAAAAGGTAGTTGAGTCTAAAATTTTAACAATAACCTCCCTTATCAAAATTGTTAACCTCCCACTCTGGAATCAGAGACAATCCAACTTCTGGCAACCTCAACTTAGAAGAAGACAGCAATGAAAGCATAGCTATAGACCTAGAAGGAACTAAAGGAGGATTCAGGATGTCCAATCACATAAAACCTGAGCCTCAACGCTATCCACAGAAGCTCAAACTACCTCTCTGAGTTATTTATAATGTTCAGTAGGCATGGCCATAAAACACATACACATAAATTAATTGTATTGAATGAATCTCCATTTTAAAAGGCAGAAAACTTTATAAAAACTCTGGGATTTGATAAAACACAGAATAAAGTTCCAGCTCCTAAAACTGGTATTAATATGAAATAGTACTTTGCCCAGAATAGGCACCTGTTAATGTTTACAACACACTTATTTAAAATTTATGTGCTACCTGATACTGGTGTAGAACTGCTACTGAAGAGATTGCTTGGCAACAGCTCAAAGTTAAAATTGTGCTTGATGGACTTCCTTTTCTTACTTGAGAAACCATGAGAAGAATCTACTGGCAGTTTACGCTTAGCATTTGGTGTAAGAATCACTGGTGATACAGATAGCTGGGCTGATAAAATATAAAAACAAAACCATTTGTTGTTTCTCCTACAGATTTCATAAAAAATACAAAAGCTTTATATAATTTCTTCTTAGAAAGCTACTACTCAGCACTAACTAAAAAACAAGGGGTTACATTTACATTATCAAATATATGTTATATAAGTAAATAACACTATAATTACTTAAAATGAAAATAAGTCGCAAAGAGGCAAGAAGACTCTTTTAAGAAATAGCCGTAACTTAAATCAAACAGACTAAAAGATGTATGATACACATTAAAGGATATTTACATAGGGAAGAAAGTTATAATCAAGAAGTTGAAACAAAAGCTGATCTAAATATTATTTTTGCTTTTCATCATAACTGAGTATTAACCAGTTGATTTCTTTACTCTGGAAAACAAAAGATCATGTTGTCTCTTATTGACTGAATAATGTCTGCCACAAGTCAATTAGAATAAATAATTGGAAAATAGGCCGGGCTCGGTGGCTCAGCCTGTAATCCCGCGCTTTGGGAGGCCGAGGTGAGTGAATTGCCTGAGCCCGTGGGTTTGAGACCCACCTGGGCAACTTGGCAAGACTTCATATCTACAATAAATCAAAAAAACTAGCCAGGCATGGTAGCGTGCGCCTGTAGTTCTGGCTACTTGGAAGGCTGAGGTGGAAGGATCACTGGAGCCCAGTAGGTCGAGGCTACGGTGGCCGGGAGCAGCCACTGTACCCCAGTCTGGGTGACAGAGTGAGACTCTGACTAAAAAAAAAATAATAATAATAATTGGAAAATATAGCAATAAATTCCTTGTTCTACAACAAAAATAAGGTTGAGTTATTTTCATGTGTTAAATAGCATCCAAATTATAACCAACAGAAAAGCACGATTAAGAAGACTAAAGTTAAAACAATAGACTAAAAAAACTTACCTACAATTTTGGGTTCATTATATCCAACCTAATTAGCAATGTCACAACATAGTATGTGTAGTACAACATCTCCATTGAAAACTGTATTTGAACTTGATTAAATTAAATTTGATTAACTAAATAAGCTAGGTAGTTATTACTGTAATTATTTCTTATAGACTGCTACAGAAATTTTCATTTAGATAAATGCATATAAGAACTTACCAATTTTTTCCTGTTGAGGGGTAACAGAGGGTGTTCTGTTAGATTTAAATTTGCTTAGTGCTCCACTAACAAAATCTGAAATGTAAGGCATATATAATCATGTAATTAATGATAACATTTACCTATCTTTCACCAGTAATTCATATGGATGTTTGTAGTCTTTTAACAACTTTGTATCAGCTTATGTATATTAAAGTTATTTAAAAGGAATTATTTCATAATAGAAAAAATACTTGAGGATTTTTATTTCATTTCCCACTTATACTCCCATATTTCTAAAGAAAAAAGACATGATACAGAATGAGATATAATACAAATACATATAGGGCACAGAAAGGATAGAGAAGGGGATCATTACTTGTTGAGGCAAAGAAGGACTGAAATATTTAAGTGGCCAGATTCTGAATAATACAGACCTAAAAAGTATACACTGGATTTAGCTATCAAGAAATGATTGTGATTTCAACAGGAATAACTTCATGCAAAAATATTCCCCTAATTTTCACCCACAATATTTACTGATTAATCGCCAAATATCATTCAATAGTTATGTAAATTTAAATTCAGAAATAGTCACTTATGTATAAATGCAGAATCTTACAAACTCAAGTGGTACAAACCATAGAAGAATACTGAAAAACTCTTTGAAGAGCCTGAGATGGTCAATGCTCAAACTGGCAGGCAATAGCTAATAAAGCCAACCTTTAGGACACCTATACAGACAAACTGAGGTCAATGTGGGAAAGGAAAAAGTACAAGAGAAAAGAGAGTCAGAGCAGAAGAGAGAAGAAATAACTGAGCGACAAAAAGGTTTAACCACAGCAGCAATACACAATTAGTTCAGCACAGCAAAATCAGGAGTATTGAAAGAAAAATGGTTCCTTCTATATTCTGAAACCATCCTAATTGCATCACAGCCCACGAAAATACAGCCTAGAGCACTTAGGGAAAGGGAAAAATTATGTCTCGATTCCTTTAATAGTCTCATGAACTTAGTGTGTGTATTTCAGGAAGTACCACACTAATGAGGGCATCTTATTAATTAGCTCAGCACTCCCCTATCTATGAAAGACATTCATATGCACAATGACAACATAGAAGAACACACACATATATTCACACACACTGGCAAGAACAGCAAAACTTTGTTAAACTAATATTACAAGAATTTTCCCACGAAATCCTGTGTAGATTCTGAGGCAACACAATCATTGCAAACTATCATATCTAGCATAAAACTAATAACAATAACTCATACTAAATAATTATCAAAACAAAAGTACATATTCTGAAGGATTGCATAACAATGTGAATGTAGTTGACACTTTTAATGTAGATACACTTGAAAATGGTTAAAATGGTAAATTTTGTTATATATATTTCACCATAATATTTTAAAAAGTCAAGATTCTTTAAAGCAAGGTACTCGAACCACATAGATGTTTGTGGTATTTCAAAGTGAGATGCAGAAAAACAGAAAACTAGCTATAATATAAACACTGATGGTCAGAGCTTATGAAAAGTTTCAAATTGCTAATAAATTTGATGTATTTTAGTGATGCTTAACAAATGCTAGCCTAACATGTTCAAATAAATAAAGCATCTCTTAGTATATGCCAAATATTAATAACTCTACTTAATGTATTCATTCAATAGCTTATGAATATACTTAACAAAACTCCCTGAGATGGATACAATGATGTACAAAACATAGTTTCTAACTTCAAAAAGCATTAAATATAATAGGTAAGAGAATCATGCACAAGAAATATGTATAAAAACCCTGAAAGCCTAAATAAAATATAGAATGTTAAGCAGAAAAGAGATTATTACCCCACTGGGAAGAAAAGAATAAATGGGAATAGGAGCTGGCTTAACAATACATTTAACCTGAATTTTGACAACTGGATACAATGAACAGCAGGGGTAGATAGAAGTAAAATCATTATATTAATAAACAGTATAAGCAAAAGAATAAGAGTGTCTGGAAAACAACAAATAACACAATCTGACTAAAGTTGCTTAAAGAAGAGAAAACAAACATTTTATGAAAGACCTTTAATGCCAAGCCATAAGTATATGTATATAAATGTATAACATATAAATATATAATGCATATACACATACATAGCAGTACTATCAATGAAAATTTCTGAAGGGTATGTGCATGAGATGCTTGAGTAGAGTTATACATTTAAAATGTTAGCCTCAACACCAGTAAGGAGGGGAGATACAAGGAGGAGGCACAAAGATCAAGGAGATTCTTGAATTAAAGATGCAGTAAACACTGCAGAGTTAGATTCTCACAGTATCTGAAAGCTGTGGATACAGATGATAAAGGAAGAGTTAGGGACCCATGGTTTAAAGCTTAAGTATCTAGGGAATGATGGTGCAGTTAGAAGAAAATGGAATCCATGCAGAATCAGCTTAAGCAGAGTAAAGAGTGAAGATAGTCACTTCATAATGTTAAACTTAATGCACCAAAGAAAAGCAGATGCGACAATGTCTGTCTAGATGGTCGTTAGTAAAGTGGAGCTAACATTCTCAAGTTTGACAGTGATAGACATCTGGTGGTCATCTATTTAGACATGATAATTAAAACTATAGGAGTGAATGAGATCACAAAGGTAAAGAAGATAAGTGATGATCTGTGTACGAGAAGTATCTACGTTTGAGATAGGAAATTTTATGGGTTGAATTGTGTCCTCCAAAAATATGTTTACGTCCTACGCCCAAGTATCTATGAATATGTCCATACTTGGAATTAGTGTCTTTATAGACCTACTCAAATTAAGATGAGGTCATTAGGGTCGGCCCTAATCCAATGTGTCCCTATAAGGGAAATCTGGACACAACACTCAGGGAGAACAGCATGGGATGACACAGGTAGAGAAGGGAGTGATACAGCTGCAAGCCAAGGAATGCCAAAGATTGACACCCACCACTAGAAACTAGGAAGAGGCAAGGAAGAATGCTCCCCTACAGTTTCAGGCACTCAGCTGACACCTTGATTTCAGAAGTCCAGAACTGTGAAATAAATTTCTGTTGCTTTAAACCATCCAGCTTGTATACTTTATTACAGTAGTCCTGGGAGAATGGTAGAGAACGTATAAAGGGAACCCACAAAGGGGGCAAAGAAGAAACACAATGCAATAACATATAAGCTGAAAGATTAAAAAAGGAGTAGATGAGATAGTTAATAACAATTAGTTCTGATATTTAAAAGATGAGAAATTTCCTAAAGTAATTGGAAGAAGTATGGCTGGTCTTCTTAACTAAAGAGATAAGAAGTTTTATTACCAACTCCACTGTGGTAGAACATTTGGTCTTTTTTATTCTTCCTTGGTAATATTTCCTTCATTTAGTTTACACTCCTAATTCAGATCACTAACAGTTTAACTAGTTCAAACAATGATCTTGTGCCTGAATTACTGCCACATCTTCCTGACAGTACAGTCTAATATTAAGTACAAATCTTTAGCACAAATATAAAATGTGTTAAAAAGAGAAAAATTTCCTGGGTAGAGAGAGACCATTCTACTTCCAAGTCTCAGTTCTTCAAATCAGATAATTCTGTAAAATATTTTAATCACGTCATGCCTCAAGTCATACACCTTCAATGATTCACCAATACCCAGGTTAATGTTCTAATTCTCTAGCCTGGCATCAAGTTCATCACAACATCACACTAATCCTGACATGAATTCTTCACTCAATTCATACTGGTCTAGTTAACAAACAGACAGACTATTTCCCTACACAAATCTTTCTTCATAGCATTCTTCTCAGTTAGAAAGGGAAACAAGTATTCTGATGATCTTCAACCTAATTATCCTAGATCCCACCCATTCTTCAAGAAGACTCAGTTTGACTTACTTTTTTTGGATGAGTTCCTAATCATTACAACCCAGGGAACTTTTCTCTTTTGGACACATTTTAAATTTGTGCTAAAGATCTGTATTTAATATTAGCCTGTATTGTCAGTTTAACTTTTCACACGCTTATGTCCTATCTTTCCAAATGTGCTGTAAGCATAAAAAGGCAGATACCACACCACAATTCATGCTTCTTTATTTTCAAACACACTTTAGATTAAAGCAGATCATGGTACCTCCATAAAATGGGACTGCCACTCACCTCCTACACTTTGCCTTCGCTTTCTCTTACATTCACTAGGAGTTTCATATTCACCTTCTTCAAAGCCTTCCATTGATGGAGTAGCACAGAGACCATCAATACCCAACATAGCTGGTATCTTTTCCAGGATAAAATCTGGTACACGCCCTAATATAAATGTTCACAAGTAAGACAATTACTATCCTTCCTCCAAACTCCCCACAAAATGTTTAGATAGCAATACATCTACTTTCTTTCTTTCCTATTTTTTTTTCTTGAGTTGGAGTCTCACTCCGTCACCCAGACTGGAGTGCAGTGGCATGCTCCCGGCCACCACAGCCTTGACCTGCTGGGCTCTGGCGATCCTTCCACCCAAGGCTTCCAAGTAGCCAGAATTACAGGCATGTGCTACCATGCCCGGCTAATTTTCGATTTATTGTAGAGATGAGGTCTACGCCAAGTTGCCCGGGCGGGTCTCAAACCCACGGGCTCAGGCAATCCACTCACCTCAGCCTCCCAAAGCACTGGGATTACAGGCTGAGCCACAGAGCCTGGCTGTAATACATCTACTTTCTAACAGCTGTCTTCAGAGTTCACTTGGAAGAAACAAATCCTGTTACTTAATGCAACATCTTACCAATATCTGATGCATAATCAATAAGAGTCTGAACTACTGCAGCCTGTAATCGTAGCTTTTTTTCTGTATTAGCAGACATCTTTTCATGTCCTTCACTTGTCTGAAGAAGATTTGGTGCAAATATTACTGCAAGATTGCTGCTATCCATCTTATTCTCACTGGACCTTAAGTGAAAAAAAGTCTAATTAGATGGACTCAAAGATAAAAATACAGAGAGTTAAAATAACGTATTTAGCACCTTTTGAAGGTCTCTTACTTAATCAGTCACATGCAAGGAAAAACAGTTACTCCTTATCTAATTACCTACATGACTGTAATGAACTTAAGAAAAAAACAGGAATATATAGCTTCTATATATTTAAATACGTATCATAAAAACCATGCTAATTGTAGAGCTCACATGTTGCTTTTCTGCACACATTGAACACATGTTTGTCTGATTTTCAAACCCCCACACAAAAAACTGAAAGTATTAGAAGGTGGTAAATATGTTTAGAACAAGCAGGTTCACTGAGAGCAGGGAAAGGGGAAAAATGTTCAAAGCAAAACACAGATGTTTTAAAAACACCATAATCAGAAGCCATTCAGTAGATAATGAATCCCATAAACACCAATAAGCCATTAAAGTATTTATAATGATGACTTTAAGACAGCAAGAAAATATTAAATCATTTGGTAAACTGTTTCTTAAATTATGTAGGGTACACTTCTTATACTAAAGAAATATGTAATATTTTAAAGAAAAATTTCTATTCCAAATTTAATTTAATATTTGCAAATCTTTAGTTAGTTGAAATACTCAACTATTATTTCCCAAGACTTTTAATTACCACTTACCTAAGAGAAACGTTCCTGAGAAAGTTAAAGAAGTATCTTAATATGTCAATGGTGTGGTCAGTCATAAGACAGGAGAGCAACAATGTAGCCTTATTTTTCTCCTCTGTTCCTAACTGTTGAGCTTTGAAAAGTGCTTCATGCAAATCAGCTGGAAGAATAGGCTCTGGCAATTCCCTAAAAAACTGCTTAAGAAGTCCTGCAATATCACAAGGCAGTGCAGAAGATAGGCAACCTTCACCATGATCCAGTTTATTCTGAAATAAATATAATAATCTTGAGTATTTTAGAGACTTAAGAGTTTATTACAATAACTTATCATTTATTATACTCTAATTAAAGAAGTTTCCTTAATAAATTTCTCTGAACTCATTAAAAACAATTTAACAAATTCATTTAATAAAGTGTATAGGAATGAGGATATGAATTTCAAAGTACTCTAAACTTTTTTTTAATATTTATTTTATTTATATGTTTTATGTCTTAACAAGGTAATTTTAAACATTACTGAGTTCTACACGAGTTAAACCAGAGTATTAGTAAATATATTCTGACTGCAAATAACGTACTAAATATTTCTGAAAATGGACTCCCTTTCAGTTCTATTCATATGTATAGTCAATCTACATATCAGTATAAGCAAGTGAAAATTAAGTTCTGATATATGAAAATTCAGTCTATAAGATGCTGATGAGTTGAATTTACCTTAGTATTCAGAACACAACTTCCCATTAAAACTTTAAAGCATATTTTAAAAATATATTTTGTACATTGCAAACTTTTAAACCACAATATTAATAATACACAATTTCTTCAGGAAAAAAAAATCTTCTGCCATGAAAAAAAGCTACTTGCCAATTCAATTTCAGCTAATTATTCATGCAATAGTTCTAAATTTTTTTTCTTTTCTTTTGAGTTGGGGTTTCACTGATACCCAGGCTGGAGTGCAATGGCACGATCACAGTTCGTTATAGCCTCAACCTCCTGGGCTTAGGTGATCCTCCCACCTCAGCCTCCTAAGTAGCTGGGACTACAGGTGTGCACCACCATGTTCAGCTAATTTTTTGATTTTTTTGTAGAGGCAAGGTCTTGCTATGTTGCCTAGGCTGGTCTCAAACTCCTAGGTTCAAGCAATCCTTCTGCCTCGGCCTCCCAAAGAGCTGGGATTACAGGTATAAGCCACCATACCTGGTCAAAGTTCTAAATATTTCAGTTGCAAAAAACCAAACCAGAAAAATGGTACAAGTGAAAAATTACAGTTCAATTCGATTATAGCTTACCTTTAGTGCCTTTAGACGAATAACAGATCCTGATTTTCGAAAAAGCCCTTCTGTATGAATATGTTCTTCTAAAGATGTGCAAGCATCAACAAGAAAGCTGAAAGAGAGCCATTTTTTCAGGTGGCCAGGTACACATCTTAACAAATCCTATTCTGCTAAAGTACTCATTCATGAGCAGGCCAAGCACTATGATTATGCCCATTTCAGGATCTCTAATGGCACAAATCCCTTTAGTCTTTATGATAAAGTTACTTTTAGTTGTCCTTTTTGCTTCCTAAATTCTTCTCTAAGGTCCAGCTTTTGTTTTGTTTTGTTGGGGAGTGGTCCCTTCTTGTATGTGTACATGTAGAAACGTTCTACTTTATACTATCATTAAGCAAAATATTTTCTCTAATGCCCATCTTTTTTATTCATGCCAATCCTACTCCATTTCTCTGCTTCCCTTCACAGCACAGGAGTTGTCTTTTTTACTGCCTCCATTTGTTCATATCTCAGTCTTTACTCAACTCTCTCCAATCAGTCTCATCCCCTTAACTCCAATGAAATAGCTCTCATCAAGGTCACCAAAAGCCTCTGCCTTGCCAAATCCATCCAAGGTCAATTTGTTGTCCTCATCTTGCTTGACCTATCAGCACTGGACACACCTGACCATTCCCGTTCATCTCAAAAATACTTTTCTGGTTTTCCTGCTATCTCCCTGACTGCTCCTTCTCAAACCCCTTTTCTGACTCCTCTTCTTCTGCCAGACCTCTACATGTTGGAAAAACCTAAGCTCTGTACAAACCCTTCTTTTATCTATGTCTCTAGATGGGTGATCTTACAGAGACTACATAGCTTTAAATATCATCATGTGCCCAAAAATAAGGTGGGGTTTTTTTCTCACTCCAACACTGTCCCTCAGAAAAGAATATATCTCAGTCCTTATAATACTTCTCATATTAAGTGTGTGCTCAATTTCTTTATTTTGAATGAATGTAGGGTACACTTCTTATACTAAAGAAATATGCAATATTTTAAAGAAAATTTCTATTCCAAACTTAATTTAATTTATTATTTGCAAATCTTTAGTTAGTTGAAATACTCAACTAAAATTTCCCAAGACTTTTAATTACCACTTACCTAAGTGTTGGCTTTAGGTAATTAGTTATTCAACAGTTGGGACCAACAAATTAAAATACCAGCTACAAGCAACTGATAGTTTTATTGGTGTACAGTGGATGAATGTCAGCTCTGCTTACAAAGGGTAACAAAGAGAACAGTTTCGTTCTGCTTTTAAAGTAGGCCAAGAAATTATTACAAAGACTCAGTCATTATTCCTAGATATGACTTTGCAATTCCGAATGTTGAAAATCATTATAGGTTTTCATTATAGAAAATCATGTCTTTCATAGACCACTTAAAAAGCAAAATAGAAGCCAGGCATGGTGGCTTACGCTTGTAATTCTAACACTTTGGGAGGTTGAGACACAAGGATTACTTGAGCCCAGGAGTTTGAGACCAGCCTTGGCAACACAGCAAGACCTCATCTCCACAAAAAGTAAAAAATTAGCTGGGCATGGTGGCATGTACCTATAGTCCCACTACTCTGGAGGCTGAGGCGGAAAAATCGCCTGAGCCCAGAAGGTTGAGGCTGCAGCAAGCCATGATTGTGCCACTACACTCTAGCCTGGGTGACAGAATAAGATTCTGACTGAAAAACAAACAAACAAATAAATGAAAAGCAAACTATTAAGTGGTTACCTTATGAAGACTGACTCTACACCTATAAAATGAACAGGAGAAAATTGTCCCAAGGCAACAAGGTGTTCAATAAATGCTATTAGATGATGCATCATTTAAAAATAAAGATTACTAGACTAAGTAGTAAAGCTGAACCCTACTTTGGATAGAGAAGTAATGAATTAAGAGATAAGATACCTTCTTTATATGCATCTTAAAACTGCTATTAAAACAAACTTTCCTAGCAAATTCTGATGAAATTAGTTCAAAGACTATGTCCAAAAAGTGTTACATAGTATGTATTCACAAATACTCCAATATTTTAGCTTAAATATTTTTATTCAACATTTCTTAAAACATACCAAAAGTATTACTAAATTGGTAATTCAGTATAATACTTAATCTGAGTTGCATTGGTATAAAACTGAAAAGAAAGTTAATAGAAAAAAAATTTGATTTCTAAAATCTATTCATTACTGGATCTCAAAATTTAATCGTAGGAATAAGTTAAAATTACAAGTTTAAAATATGTAAAAGTTAAATTTTTTTTTTAACATTAACCAAAGTTGAGAGATTAAACCATTTGCTGGGTTGAAACATATGTGTGTCAATCAACTCTTTTTAAACTCTATAAAACCAGTTTGAAACATTTACTCTGGCTTCATTTCAAACACTGCTTACCTTGGAATGTGTCCATATTCTGGCACAACAGAGTGGGGCAATGTATTAAAAGGTACTCCAAATATTTTACCCTAAAATGAAAAATTCAGTCATTCTAACACAAATATTAGGCATAATATAAAGCATCTTAGGAAAATTTAAAACCTCAGGAAATAAAAGACAGGAGAAATAAATGATAAACTATCAATTAATACAAAGTAATTATCTCAAGTGCATTTGGTAACATATAACTACTATGTTAGACATTATGCTATGTGCTCGGTGTACAAAAATGGCCAAAGTCACTGCCCTCAAGCAATCTAGTGAGCTCAGTCAGTCTGAAATCTGATCATGGAAAATCAATCTGATTAGTGTTTATCCGGAGATTCTTAAGCAAAATTTGGTCCCAGACACTAACATTTCCCAAAAAATACCACAGATTCCTTCAGTAACCTTATATATACTGACCATATGCTTTCTTTTGGTCACTTTATAAACACTAACTTACACAAAAGGCTTGATCAATTGACAAGCCAAACAGAATTCCTGTCACTCATTTAAGTACTTCCTAAAATTATATCAGAAGACATTATTTTTAGACCTGATTATCTTTTCCACATTCTATAGAAGAGTGCTTTCAAGCCGGGCTCGGTGGCTCAGCCTGTAATCCCACACCTTTGGGAGGCTGAGGTGAGTGGATTGCCTGAGCCCGCGGGTTCGAGACCCGCCTGGGCAGCAAGACCTCATCTCTACAATAAATCAAAAAATCAGCCGGGCATGGTAGCGCATGCCTGTAATTCCGGCTACTCGGAAGGCTGAGGTGGAAGGATCGCTGGAGCCCAGCAGGTCGAGGCTGCGGTGGCCGGGAGCGGCCACTGCACTCCAGTCTGGGCAACAGAGTGAGACTCCAACTCAAAAAAAAAAAAGAAGAGTACTTCTTCTAAACTATGTCCTGAGGTACACAAGGCAGAGATTCTACAAATATTTAAGTTAAATTTCATTTAGCTATTTGGAAACTCACTTTAAAATCTCACATTTAAATGTTAATACATTGAAGATCTCAAGAGTAAACTGGTGTGTAGGTTAACTTGAGTGCTTTTGCACACTCAAATGTAAAGAATCTGCCACGAAAATTGTGCATGCAATTGACCTGCTTAAAAATGTGTCACTGATTAAGAAGGTTGTAGCTTTCTGGACTGAAAAATAAATTCAAATGTTTATATAAATTTCAGTGGCTACAACCTAATGTCATGCATGATAATCTAGTTTAGATGCATCTGCTCTCTGTAAATTCTCTTGAAAGATTTATGTCTTAAGAGCATTTTACTTAACTTTACATTTGCAATAAAAAAAACCATTCAGCATTATTAATGACTCAAAACAGTAACAAAATTTTACTAGTGCTCTTGCAAGCACCTGACTCCATGTAATTTATGAATATTCCAAGTGAAGAAACAGTACAGTATAGTGTCTAAGAACAGGCTCCTAGAGACAAGACTGTCAGGTTTTAAATCTTGGCTCCTCTTATTAGCTGAGTGAGCTTGACCAAATTAATAGTCTTCCCCTTGGTATCCTCATAAAGATCTTAAGTCATAGAGCTGTAAAAAGAATTAAATGAATTCAAACATGTAAAACACTTATATCAGTCATCTGATAAGCATTAAAAGAATATTTGTTGTGTTATGAAAATCATTTCAAGGCGAGCTATTTTTAAAAAAAGTTAGTATAGGCAACCCCTTTAATTTAGGTAAATCAGAATGTTCTTGTTACTGAATAACAAAACAAAATGTGAAATTAGATCAGATGCTAAAGTTGATAAAAATCTACAACTGTCATATATAACTAGAATTCAGAGGGTTTTTCCCTTTTAAATGTCATTATTTTTAATAACTGGTTTCTTAAGTAGTCACTATAATTTAATCTCATAAAATAAAATGCTTTTTAAATTGTATGTATTAGACCACCACTTACAATATCATCTTTAAAAATATTTCCCAGGGCTCTTCCTAAAAATTTCAAATATACCATTAGCTAACAAACACCAAAAAGCAAAAGAAATTGTTTTCAAACAAATCACCTCTCTTGTTAGATCTCATTCTTACAACACAGTGATCTCATACGTTTCTTTATTTGAATATTTTTATTAGTGGTTTCTAGTTGAATTTATTTAGTATGACTATCAATGGAGGTTGATCACTGATTCTCATAACAATTAGTATTAGTTGAATAAATGGCACGTGATAGGCACTGTGCTAGGCCTATATACAGAGCCTTAACTTTTAAAAAATCTCCTAAATAATCCAAGGAGAGATACCATTTAGTCCCACATTACAGATTAGGAAACTGGAGCATAGAGTAATCACACAAGCAGCCCTAGTTCACAGACCTCATGGGGTAGAGCTGGACTCAAACTCAAGTCTGTATTATGACATAAAGGCAGGTGTCAATTTTTGTTAAGGGGTTGGGAAAACAAAACAAAACAATCCATGTACAGATTCTTTCATACTACAAGGCCAGCTATATTTTAGCTCTTGAAAAGCCAGTTCTACAATCAGAAGAAACCACTGCTGTTTTAAAAAATAAATACATGTGTTGTCATTAATTCGCAAACAATGAAAACAATTTCTGTAGAATTTACAAGCTATTAAGAAGTATATACACTATTTTTGCTAGTAGTTTTCTTCTCTGAGTACTTATTTTCTAAGAAAGTGCAAGCTATTAAGAGCTATGTAAATTAATTGTACTAGTTTTTGTCTCCAAGTATTACAAAGCATCATATAAATTAGGTGTCTACATTTAAAACAAAATGCTTGATATTAAATTTATTTTGCACAGTGAAATTCTTGATTATACAGAACTATTAAAATCTCATTCAAAATTGCTTTACCTCGACCATCATAACAACACCTTTTCCATCATTCGACTCTGGCTTTTCAATTTACTCATTAAAAAAAATAGCTCTATGTCTCAAAAATATGATATGGCCAAGCAGCAAGCTTGTTTTCTCAAACTGGTGAATATAAAGGTATCATCTGAAGCCTATTTCTAATGTTCTGTCACACCTCCTCGCCTTTTAATCTGTTTAGAAAATGCACTGGTCCTCCTTGTCCCTCTACAAACTTTACTCTGAAATAGTGGTGGAGAGGTAGTTTGTCTCTCTTCCCACTTACTATCTGTCCAAAATACAATAAACTGGCGATAGCTGAAGACTTTTTTTTTTAAGATTAACAAATGCACCTAGCTGGAGACATTTTTAACTGTCACAATTGAGAGATGATAACTGCTAAATATCCTATAAATTACAGGAAGCACTCTTCTCCTAACAAAGAATTATCTAGTCTAAAATGTCAACAGTGCTGAGGCTGGAAAATCACGCTCAAAAATTCCTGAAAAGAATCAAGAATGTCATTCTTTAAATATCAGCAATGACCATCTGGATGGAATCAGACACATCTAACCACATTCTCTTTTCAACACAGAGAAAATATTGTGGCATAACCTAATAATAGGTGATAGAACAGGGTGTGCCTTTTAAAACATTTTTAACCTAAATTCCCTTTCCCAGAACTTACCCCTATTTCCGTGGCCGCCGTTTCATGTCTCCGGCGATCGCACTGCCCACGGCCCCCCTTGACCTTAATGCCATAGACGGCCCGAAGCTGCTGCAACAGGGCCAATCTCACCAGCCTCTGATCCCACATCCCGGACACGTCGCCCACTCTCCGAGGCGGGATCCGGCCCTGATCCTCGTTCGCCACCAAGTCTTCCAATTTCCAAGCACTCTCAGGTTTGAGCTCCTCTCCGCGGCCTTCGGGTCACGTCTGGCACTCCTCGGGCCCCGACCTCCGGCCACTTCCACAGCTTTTCTTTGATCCTCTAGTCACTCGCACAGACTCCCTTCTCTTGGCCCTTTGATCCGGCCACACCTCACGCTTCCTTTCACTTCCGCTGACCTTCTTTCAGCCACTTACACAGACTTTCCTTCGCTCTCCCCGATTCGTTCGGCTCCCCTCCCCAACGCGTTACCCGCTTCTCACCGTTTCCGACGACCCCCCTGCCCCCCAGACCTCACTTTGCCCGCTCTAGCTCTCTCTCAAGCGTAAAGACGACCCTTCTTCTCGCTCCTCCAGCCCCAGCAGCCTCCGCTGGGAGTTCGTCTCTGGGTGCCCGCGCCCCCCGCCCGAGCCTGGCCGCCGGGCCAGCCGGCTGCTCAGGCAACTCTTCCAGTCCCGGTCCCCGCCCGGGCTGGCCGCCGCCGTCACCCCGTTTCACAGGCGGCTCGTTCCCTCCTCCATCCCGCCTGCGGCTCCCCGCCGGCACATCCCGGTGCGCTCACTGAAGCCAAGCCACTTGCTTCATGCCTCCGCCCCCAACTCCTCTGCCGACACACGGAGCCACCGCGGCGGTCTAGCCACAGTTCCAGCTCAGGCTCAAATGGCAGCGCCAAACAGCGCTCCGCATCTGATTGGCCCGCTCCTCTTTTCAAAATCAGGCCCCTTCCGGAGGGTGGCCAGGAATTGCCTGTCCCGAAAGGTGCGGCGAACGGGAGACCCCGAAGGGTGTCGCGGGCAAACCTAAGAACTATGAAAAGAAAGATGCGTTCCGCTGCCTTCTTCGTGACCATATTTTTTTTGGAGGAAATGCTGTTTAAAGCGCGTTCGAATACATCCTATCTGTACCTCAGACAATACACACTATTTGGGCAAGTAAAATAGACATCTCACTCTCATTTTCTCCGAACTCGGTTGAAACTGAAGGCCCTCTTACGGGGAAACCGTTATACGGATCCCGAGGTGAGACAAGTTGAGTCGAGAGTCACAAACGCTGATCCTTGGTACCCCTTCGCGGTCTGCCCATAGTGGGAACTTAGGCTATGGGACTTGGTCCATATTTAGGGGACAGAAAGTGATACTCAAATCTCATTGCAAAGGAAGTTAAGTACAACACAGAAGACCCGACATGAGATAGAGAGGAAGAAACGCCAAGTCTGCACACCCTTCATGGATGGGATTTGAAGTTGGGAGACCTGGAGGAGCCGGGTTCCCGGCCCAGAGATTGCTGAAACCTTGGTTGTCTTGTTGACCTGCGCAGCTGTCCACGGCCTGAGCCGCTTTTCCATTCCGAAGCAACGCGATCCCATTAAGGTGTTCTCTTTTTTCCCGGGTTGTAATTCTTTTTTTTTTTTTTTTTTTTTTGAGTAGAAGTCTCACTTCCTGGGGTGTAATTCCTTTAGGGTAGGAGACTCGGACTCGGTTTAAATACAGGCAATACGTTATACATTTACTACCTCCCACCTCAGTCCCATGTAAATCTGGTCCGAGCAGCAACAGGACTTGATCTGCTTTATGCACTGTTATATGCCCGCTGACTAATAGTGCCGGGGGTACATGAATATTTGCCCGATAAATGGATTTAAGTAGAAACGCTTCCTCAGAATCATTTTGCCTTTTTTGAAGTTCAGGTCCTTAGGTATTCTGCCTTTTCTCATCTAAAGAAAAGTCTGCATGAAGAGATGGGAGCAAAATGGAAGTTAAACATTGCTTTACTTGAACAATTGTTTGTTGAACTCCTGCTATGTGCTATAGGATAAGTAAAACCAAACACAATTTAGACCCTGGAAAGGGAAAGGGAGATAGATATTAGTCAAGTATTACATTAGTGAGGATATTTATCAGTTGAGATAAGTGCACTAAGGAAAGGGATATGATTCTGATAGGATATAATAAAAGTTCCTTGATGGGAGAGTGGGACAATATCTCAATAATTAGCTGATCTGAAGAATCAGTAGAAATCAACTTGGTAAAAAAGTGTAGGTGGGATGGCTGAGTGGGACCAACATTCAGGAGACAAGTGCCTGCAGAAAAAGTCATCCATTTTTAACAAGAAATCGTGCATCAGACATGAAACGGAACCTATTCCTTGTCTTTTCTTCTTGGTTCAGACATAACTTTTAAAAATTACTTATGTCACCTCATTTCTTCCCCAAACTTCACACTATTCTGGATTTTAGATGTCTCAAATCTTCTTAAAGTCCTTTAAGTGCCTTTTTCTATCTATATCCTAATCCTTTTTGAAAGCTGTGTTCTTTGATTTTGTTTTCTCCTTTCCCTTAAGAAGGGAAATTATATTTAACATAATTACTTACTTGCTTTATTTATATACATATATACAGAGGGTGCCAAAAAAGTATACACATTTTAAGAAAGGAAAAAAGCTGTGTTAAAATTGTAATACTCAATATATACCGATAACAAAAGGTGCATGCAAGTCACGTTTGACTTTTACATTTACAAGAGGTGCTCAAAGTGGTTACCATCAGCATCCAGACACTTCTGATTATGAGGAACTAAAAATAATACATCTCTTAAAATGTGTATACACCTTTTGGCACCACTGGTATATACTTACATAAAAAACAGAATAACAACTAATAACAGGATAAAGAATGACTAAAAACAGAATAATAGTGGTATTGCTAACACAAAGTTTAACTTTGTGCTTCTTTTTTTCTTCAATTATATCCTAGTAGGAATGTACAGTCAAGATACTATGTGTTAGATGAACTGGACATAATTCTTCTCATTGATTACATATAGTTGTATTGTAGTTTATTCAACCAGGCCCTTACTGGTGGCTATGTGGACTATTCCCACTCTTTTGCTATTACAAAAAGTTCTTGTACATATATAGCATACTTTTGCCAGTGTATCTTTAGTTTAGATTTCTATAAATGGGGTTGCTAGGTCAAACGGTAAAAGGACATGTAATTTTGTTTGATACTACCGAATTCGCCTTCCTTGGGGTTGTGAAAGTTTGTATTCACACCAGCAATATTTCCTGATTTTCTGTAACCTCTCCAGCAGAAGGAATTGTCAAACACCTGGATTTTTGGTAAATTGATAGGTGGGAAATTGTATCTTGATAAAGTTTTGTGTTTATTTTTTGGTGAGTGAGGTGGAGCTTCTTTTCAGATGGGGTATACATAAGATGAAGTATTATGAAGCTGTATCATGGCCAGTAGTGGAGTAAAAAAGGCAAGGCACAAAAGAATGTATAGAGTATGCCACCTCTGATGTAAGAGGGGTTAGAAATACATATGCAAGTCGAGCTCGGTAGCTCAGCCTGTAATCCCACGCCTTTGGGAGGCTGAGGTGAGTGGATTGCCTGAGCCCACAGTTTCGAGACCTGCCTGGGCAGGCGAGACCTCATCTCTACAGTAAAAAAAAAAAAAAAAAAAAAAAAATAAGCCGGGCATGGTAGCGCGCGCCTGTAATTCCGGCTACTCGGAAGGCTGAGGCAGAAGGATCGCCGGAGCCCAGCAGGTTGAGGCTGCGGTGGCTGGGAGCAGCCACTGCACTCCAGTCTGGACGACAGAGTGAGATTCCAACTCAAAAAAAAAGAAAAGAAATATACATGCAAGTAAATACTTGCTTATATTTTCAAAAATAAACAATAGAAAGGTAAACCACTGTCTAATAAAAATAGGAAACAATAGGAGGAGAGCAAGAATAGGTGAGAGAAAACACAGGAATGGAAGCTCGAACTCTTACATCACAAAGGGCTAATATAAATAAATTTCTAGATTTTTTTAAAAGGCCATACTGATAGAATGTAAGCAAAAGATGACCAATTCAAATAAAAAGAAATGCAAATAAACTTTGAATAGGTTAAAAAGTTGGTTCATTTATCGCAGTTTGTTTTCCATTTTGGGAGTTGCTTTAAATTTTATTTTGTATTTTAAACATTTTAATATTTACAGAGTTCCAAGGTCAAATATAAAGCAAGATATATTCAATATATATTGTTTGTTTAAACTGTAGTTCATCTCCTCTTTTAATGCTTCTAGATTCTGATAATAGGTAAGAATGTTTTCCCCACTCCCAAGTTATAAAGGAATTCACTCATGTGAATTCTAGTACTAGTTTTTCTAGCACTGTTATGTTTTCGTTTTTTGAAATGTTAGACCTGTAGCTGTTTGGAACTTATCCAAGGTAGAGAGTAAAGAATGAATTCAATTTTATCTTTTTTCGTACATGACTATATAGCTCTAGACATTTTTATTTTATCTCACTTCGTGATTGCCCACACCTACTTCTAAAAGTAGCAAAACACTACTACTGAAACCTCACTGAGTTCCTGGAATAGGAAATGGGAAATCATCTTTTTTAAGGCTTTGGTTTTATTTAGTACCACTAGATGGCACACATCAATTTCTTTCGATGTTATCTTACTTCCCTTTCTTTTCTGTGAAATCCATCAATCGAGAATCTGCCAAAGGGCCTGCAACCCTGCTTGAAATAAGATGATTTGTGCAGTTTTAAAATTAGGTCCAGGGGTTTTATTTGTAAAGCCAAAATGATTGTTCCTGGAATCACTGCCTCCAGGACCTGAGACACTCCACAGTTACATTGCTCTGTTTATTAATAAAACAAAAGTTTGGGGAAATGCCTATTCTGTCCTAAATTTGAACTTGACTAAGAAAACAATAAAGCGATTTCCTCAGGCCACGGGGGCCATCACCAGAGTCGTGGACACTGTGGTGCTTCACCTAGCTCCCCCTCCAGGCCTGAGGAACTACTCACTTTCCTTGCTTGCGGGAGTGTTGGCTACTGATGGCTCACAGCCAAGTCTCCTTCTGAGAACCCTGTATGGAAAGGAGCTGCTTTCCCTGGGCAGGCTGCATTCCATAACTGGTTAACGTGGAAGTATATAAGCCTAGTTCCCTTACCTCAACTCAAGACGTCTGAAGGACCTCCCAGCTCTAGAGCTTCCTGTAGGATCAGCTGAGGCCTTTGAGGCAACTGTATCAGTCTGCCCCATCCTATTTCTTTCACTTCTTTACTT